CAACGCAGTAAAAAAAATACAATATTTCCCTCTGAAATTTAGTGGAAGAAAAGTAGAACATCTCCTACAATTGAGATACTAAACCATTATCTTAAAATTGTCCTTCTACTTTCCAGCTTTAACAGAAGGTATTCAAAGAGTAACATTTCTATACTTGCCTGCTGTGACGAGGGATTTTGAATTACAGCCTCTTCTCCTTACTGTGCCATTGTTTGCCCATTATAGATTTACAAGGGAATTATGGATGTTGTCAGCTTCATGGCAACTGGAGTGAAGATATGAAGACGAGGGAATATTTCACCAGTGGGAAATCCACTGAGCGACAGCACATTCTGTAGGATTTCTTACAGCTTAGCATAGGATGGCAGCAAAACAGTGTGTGCACATGAAAGCAGCTCGTGTTCTGCGAAGACACATTATGCATGTGTGAAAGTCGGGATACTAATCTGACAGTTAGTCATTGCCCTTTTGTCTGTTCTCCCACAGGGAACATGTACATGGACTCAAGACAGAGCATTTCCTCTCTGATGGGCCCACCGGGATACCCCCACATGCCTCCCATGAGCAACACGGCTCCCACCATGACAGGTGACTCCTCCATCGCTCTCCTAACAGGTCAGGAGGAGCACGTAGAAATGCAGTTTATATGTGTGTAGGCTATGCAGGTTTTTATCCAGGCAAGTGTGTGTTTGTGGGTACCAGTGTTTTGCTAGTAAATGGTACAATATCAGTATTTGATAGTAATACTATGGTAGTGCTATGACATCATGAGAAACAAGTAAAATCATGATGAAATATCACACAATCAACTTTAACAAAAAGAAACCAGAACCAGAAACTTAATATGTTGATCTGTAATTTCAGGAAGGTTGGCACATTTCACCACATGTACAATACATTCAGTTCCTGCATTGAACAAACAAATTATAAATATCTGTACAAAGTTGGGGGACTCACAAGAGACAACCAATCTGATGCTGGAGAGGCTGAGATATCCTGACTCAAAGCTCTTCCAGGCCCACAGCAGACATTAGAGATATAGACATTATAAATCTGTTTTCACAGGCCGAGCAGTACTAAAATTGACTAGTAAGCTGGTCTTTGTGTGTAAAATGGATGGAGTACCCCTTTTAAGACAAATAGTTATTTCAGTTTGTACAGATTTTTTTGTTAATATATAAATTTTGGTTAAAAAAATCAATAGATTAATGTAATTAATCAAGTGCCATGGTTTTGTGTGCCAGCATCAAAAACTGTTTTGTTTCTTGCTGCAAGAGTGGCATGTGAAGAATTCACCACAATTTTCATTATTGTATGTGGTCCTGATGTAACGGAGACAGCTCAGAATAAAGGTAATGATACATGCATCATGCATAATTTAATACAATATAACTATGCAACACAAGCTTTAGAAAGTCACAGTAGCTTTAATCACATTTTTTTAAGAAGATGTCCGTGTGAATTTGTCAATGTTTATGTTGAAAGTAAGATTGCAAGAGTGTGTCATTAAAATCATAAAGATGCTAAATTACATGTGGCACCACAATAGATTTACCAGTTGTATCTACCAGTATAGGTGAATGAGAATTGAAGACATGGTGGATTGTTTGCTGTCAACAGGATTTTGGTGGTTTTTGGATTCAGATGTTTCCTTCTTTTTTCAATTTTGGCATGATCAAGCATCTGATAAATCGCTTCAATTTCAAAACCTCTGTGTGTGTGTGTGTGTGTGTATATATATATATATATATATTCTAATTAAAAGTTAGTGTCAGTGATACAGAAGTAGCACTGAATTGTCACAATGTGTGCTCCTTCCATGTCCAGGACATCTCAGCCAGCTGAGCCAACAGCAGCAGCACAGGCTGCCTCTGGGACACTACCAGGTGAGACGCATGCTCACTGCAGATGACATCCAGGACGACTTTGACTGGGACTCCATCGTCTAAACTGAGCCACTGGTGGAACAGAGGGGGAGTGAGGCTGAGAAATGAGAAAGAGACATGCAAGGAGAGGTGTAGTATGGAACTGGCCGACCTGCCCCTTTCACCTGTACGAAAAACAGAAGACAATCCAACAGAAAACAAACAGAAAGTAATTTTTCTGATCTTGCTGGCCTTTTTTTTTTTTCTCCAATCCAAGTGGATGATAAGTCTAAAGACAATCATTTAAAAAAAAAAAAAAAAAAAATGAATAAGACTTCAATGGGAATGGACCAAGCCAAGATGTAAACACACATTGTCCTAAGGAAAAGGACATCTGAAGCTCTCTGAATTGTCTCATGTTGTGTCCCCCCAGTGCCAGCAGGGTTACAAGTCGCCAAAGTGTTGTCAAAATGTCTGTTTAATTGTTTTCTGAAATCTTTTGTGTTTCCTGCTACAACTTGTGTCCAATGTTGGCAATGTTTCAGCACCTGTGCCTGAAATTAATAGAAACCTTGTGTTCTCCAAAATCCCTGCTGTAGAAATCATTCAGCCTGTCATTCACACCCATTCAGCAGGTCTCACCATTTCATCCTTTTCCTCCTTGTAACATTTCTTTGTTCACATAGTGGGCATCTATGTGGCTGCGGGTGTTTACAACTACAGTTAGAAGGAGGATTTTTGAAGAAGAAAATAATGATGGTCTACCTGCTTCACTTAAATCAGTAATGGTTGAGTGGAGCACCACCTGCTGGTTAAAACAAGCACCATATAGCTTAATTTGCCTAAAAGAAATCTATGCACCACTTCCTTTCATCTTTGTTCTGTCACATTGGACGGCTAAACTTTTTCAGTTTATATTATCATTTTAAATGCCATTGTTGTGTTTGTGGAACAATCTATGGTGCCATGTTCTCAGGGTGTTACATTCATATATACCATGTCAGACCAATACAAAGCCATTTACATCTCTGTATGTGAGGTTACTGCGTGTCGTACTGTGCTGTCAGTGTTCACTTCCTGTTGGCGGACAGCGAGCCTCCTGGCGACTGTGGTCAAAAAGTTGAAAATCTTCATATGTCAGCTTATAAGCTAACTGATAGAAAATACTGTGGATAAGCTTTTCAGTAGCTCAAACAGCCACTAATTAAGATTAAAATGAGACGCTGGCTAGACTTGGACTTAACATATAATTCATTTTTTTATAATTTTGGGAAAGTGCATATCAATTATGACCAGGCAATGAAGGTCGAGCCGTGATTTCACGATGCCTCATTTAGGAGACGAGGAACGAGCAGTTTTTGCACAACACCAAACTTGACAGCATCTAGTGAGTGAGAGAAATAAAAGAAAACAGTGAATCTTTTTATTTCTTTGTTTTAAAAGACATTTACAAAATAGAAAGGAGCAAAGACTAAACAAAAGTTTCAAATGCTTAACTTTTTTTTTTTACCGTGATGTTTAATTTCATCCGTGTGTATAAGTGTGTATAGTCCTCCCTCATTTCCTTTTAGCATACAGCTTCGTACAGCTAAAAAAAACACAAAAAACAAGTAATTTGTTTGTATTAAGTGGGTGATATATGGGACCTTAAAGTGCTCTTTGGTTTGGAAGATCCAGTGAATGTTTGAATGGTCAAAACAAGGTCTCATTGTAGAAAAAAAAAAGGAAAAATACTCTTTATTATTGCCATTAAATGCTGTATTACAGTGACCAGCATATATATCTTGTGTTTGTGTGTTGTTGTCTTTGTAAATAACAGTATGTAACTCCTTTGTTTGCCCTTGAAAAACAGAGACTGATAAAAAGAAAACAGCAAATGGAGAGTATTTTGTTATTTGTCCTTCAGGAGACACAGTATGTACATACCTTCAGTATATTGTAAATAAGTGATAAAAAAAACATTGGCATTGGCGTTTTGTGTGTCAAATAATCTCTGTATGGCAGTTCAACGGTTCAAATATGTTTCAGTGTTTATTAAAATGTTATTGACCATTTTTACTGCACTAACCTTGCATCTGCTGTCATTATTTCATCAGCTGTGTCGCCATGTTTGAATTAACTGTCTTTGTGGACAGGTTGCTGTGTCATGCATGACTCTAAATTCAACATCCTGCTCCAGTCTTTTGGAGTTTGTAAAAATTTGAATCTGATTTCTCAGGTAAAAACGAAATTAAAAGAGGAGAGGAAGGATTAATTTTTTGGTCGCTGAGATAACTTTTTGCTTCTTGACTTTGCGGCTTTGTCCCTCGCAGCTTGTTGTCCAACAGGTGTCAGCCTAGTTCCAAGCAACAGTTTGTTTGCCGCTGCAGACCACCCATGCCTGCCTGTGTGAAAGTCACACAATGTTCTAACTGTATTTACGGCGCCTTTTCATTGGGAAAACCTGTTTAAAAAGCAGCTCTCTCTTGCTAACATCGGTCAGCCACAGCTGTAGGCTAACACTTTATTTTGCAATAACAAAATGATTTAAAAGATAGATACAGATGTATTATTGATGCTTGTTTCATTCATTGTTCCTTTTTTAAGGTAAAAAAAGGTTAAATATTGTGAACGGTGACAAATAGTGAAGCTGTTTTCTTTTGCAGACACTGTCTTGGCTCCAAACTCTGTAATTAAGGATTATTTGAGACGGCTCAACGCTCTGTTTACATTTTGCTCCATTCATTCAGAAAGCATTCAAAAGGCTTGTTGCTTTACCTTTCTAATTTCATAAACTGGCCCCTTATAGTTGGAAGTGCCTGTCTAGTCTTGATAAATAAGTTAACAGCCTATTTATCTGGAATTCCAAGTGTGTACTTGCGTGAGTGAGTGTATGCGCGCTGCTGATATTGCAGGGTTTGCAAACAGGAGAGGGCTGGCTCTGCACCAAGAGCGAGAGCACGTTATACACGGGGGTGCACCCTTACTGCCCCAATCCAGACACCCCTTCTCCCAACACAACCTGCCCCTTGCTCCTCAACCCGCCCAGCCCACCACCAGTACCACCACCCCTCCTCCACTCTCAGCTCAGTCAGTCACACACACTCTTTTTTTCTCTCCTGCTGTGTGCCAGTCCCTCTCTCTCTCTCTCTCTCTCTCTCTCTCTCTCTCTCTCTCTCTCTCTCCCTCCACTTCCTCAAAGTGGCCAGAGCTCCACTCTTCTCTCTTGTCCCCTTAACATCCCTCCACCACTCTTTTTCTTCCTCCAGCTCTGAGAGACCAGCACCGGCTCGGCACCTTCGTCTTCAACTCTACAAGTTAAAAGGATCTCAGGCCAACTCCCAAACTTCTCCAGAATACTTTATTTTCATTCTAGATCTTTTTTTGTTGGCCCCTCAAACCTTCCCCTCAGGAGAGGCTGGTTGGTGTGTGTCTGGTGTGTGTGCGAGGGCTCCGGTGTCGTGCTCTTTGCCCCGAGGGAGTCCCCATAGGTTGTGACTGAAGGAGAAAAGTTTTCACCACGATGAATGTTCAGCTGCTGCTCCTGTTGGCCCTGGCTGGCCCTCTCTGTGCCTTCCCACATGCAAGTAAGTGAACTCTTTGCTATCACCATCCTGCTGTTAGCACACGGTGTCCCCTCTCTCCCTCTGTCTCCATGTGCCCACACCACACCACTCTTTGTCTGCTATAATCCCTTTTGATTGAACAATAACACTCTGGAGGCTGATTTCAGAAGGCAAACTTTTCATTTGTGTATCCAATAACTAATTAATTATTTATGTTCAAATTATTCCAACAACTTTTCATATTTTTAAAAACATTTTTACTGTTAGGTCATCACTCTTAAACTGCTTCTTAACAACTGCCGGCTGTAGTCCGGCTCGTATGTTCCGCCCCAGCTGAGAATCACTGTGATGGAAAAGGAGAACTTTGGTTGAAGGTGTTAATTTAACAAAGAGGGGGCAACTCAAACAGATAGTCTGTTGTTTTTAACAGATAACCTCTCTCTGTCTTGCTATCTCTCTCTCTGTCTGTCTCTCTCATTTTCACACTACCCCTGAGCTCTGTACTGGAGGGAAAGTTTCATTTGCAGACACCAGGGAGAAATGTGATGTAATAGCAGGAGCTCTGCTGCCTCGTGCCTGTAAATTCTTGGCACCGGTAAAGAGAAGAAAGGGATATCTTTTGGAAGGATCCCAAAACAGTGCTCATACACAGGGAGGGATTTGAGAGGAGGAGGGGGGCGCTGTAAACTTGTAACATACACCGAACACATTTATCTGAAAGCTTATCCGCGGTCTCCTCTCACTCTGCTCCTCTCATTTCTCCCTCACTGCAACTGCTTTCTTCCTTTTACTCTGCTTTTCTCTTTGCATCTCTGCAGCCTTTTCCCCTGTATCTTTGTTTTCTCTTTCTTTCTGATTCCTTCCTTTGCTTGACCAGCAGTGTTGGCCCAGGGGAAGCAGCAGCAGGCACGGGGGGGTGTGGCTGAGGCCTGAGGGAACTGTAGGGCAGGGCTGGTGTATTAATAGAGAGAGGCTCTATATTTGAGAGGGTCATATGGATGAGAGAGGAGAAAGAGACGGGAAGAGCGAGAACACCCGCTACATGATGAGCTTTAAGAGGCGCCCAACCCTCTTCTACCCACATGTTGACCATGTGGCGCGCCGCCCCTTGGCATTTACCCATCTTTGGTGGGGTATCATGCTTTACCACTTATCCCACCCCTCCCCTTAAGCTTCTCACCCAGTCTCTTAACAGCCCTCCTCCTTTCTCCAACTCTCTGCCCCCTTCCCCTGTTCCAGCCTGATGAGTCTGGACCCAGGGGGACCGGGTTGGTGTAGACAGGGGGAGCAGAGAGGGGTTTGGGTCTATTTTTAAACAACAACCTTTACCGGTCGTGGACTACGTGCCTGCTTCATTTCCATGGAGGTTTACACTGAAAAAGTCGTTAAATGTTTAGAATGATTCTTAACTCAGCCATCTCAGTTTTCCAAATAAAGAGGGAGGCAAAGAAAATAGCTATTTAACTACCAATCCTGTAATCCTGAATCCTGTAAAAACCCTCTACCTACTACCTCACACTGCTGCGCACATCATCTAAATCCACATCTCTACATCCACATCTCTGCTTTGCGAACAGGGCCTGCTCACTAAACTAGCAAACACCATGTATCCTGCTGCTGGAGCCCCCCCCCCCCCCCCCGTCTCCTCCTTAATGAGTTTTGTCTGCCTCTCTGGGCCTATAACGTGCCCGTCACATCTGGCTGCTGAAGGGAGAGGTCAATGCCCTTTGTTCGTGCCCACTTCTAGAAATGACTCAAATGTTGCGCTCATACTCCAAATATGCCGTTAAAGAGGGACCATGAGGAGGGAGCACTTCTCATGTCAAATATCATTTTGAAGAAGAAGAAGGAAAAAAATGCTCAGTCATACTTCCAAAATTTTCCACAAGGAGAAAGGAACATCTGTTTATGGAAAGGAGTCTCAGGCCATTTTGGCCGTTACTCTACAAGTAATGTCTCATATCTCTGGCACTTACGTAATAAAGTAAGAACAAAAATTGAGCTGCTGACTAAGGAACACTTACACAACTGAGTGGGTGTTTTATGATGTGGGAGTTGGATTTGAAGGTTAGCAAGATTATAAATAAATTAAGAGGCTCTCTTGATAAAATTGTACGTCAGGGTTGTTGCTTTTATCTGGGGTGTTTTGTTTTAAAGAAAAGATGAGAGTTGGAAAACTTAGAGTGTTGCCACAGTATGATGTTTATTTTGTCATTTCTACAGTGGCTGCATTTCATGTCATCCTTGCCCTGTTTCATTACATTTTAGGCCTTTAATCAGACCTGTTCGGCCTAAGATTAAAGGCTCACTTGATCTAGGTCTGGACCAGTTTCTGCCCCTGGCGAAAAAGTTTAGGTAGGACCTGACGTATGTCCTCCTATCTAAATTGGACCAGGAGGGGGAAACAAGTGTTTGTGTACAAGTGTGAATGCTCATTGTGTTGCACCTGTGATAAGACTGTCTGAGAATGTTCCACTCCAGTCTGTCTCCTCTTAAAATCCCCAGTGTGCTGTGCGTGGCACACCCTGGTATCTCCACAGCTGACTCCTAATGGTTGAGGGGGGGGGTTAGGCCGTGCGGCATCTCGTCGTAGTGTGGTGAGGTGGGCAGGGCGCCTATCTCTCTCTCTCTCTCTCTCTCTCTCGCATTTCCCTCCTCCAGTGCTGCAAAAACATTCCTGGCCTCCAAAGGTGGACACATTCACATTCCCTCACACCGTCTACACTCCTACACAGGACTATGAATTACTCTGTTTCTCTTTCAAATACACGCACACACACACACACACTAACGGGGGGGCCTCAGTGACAGCTGATTGTGATCGTAATGGATGGAAGCTGTTACTCCCTCCTTTTCTGTCTCACAATATCGTTGTGTCCCTCCCTCATTCTTTCACTCTCTTTGTATTCCTCTACCACTTCTTTTAATGTTAACTCTCCTGCCTGCCTTCCACCTCTCTGTCCCTCCCTGTATATCTATATCATATCACCAAACCTTATTCTAGGGACATTTTAACTCCAGTGCCATTAGCAGTCAAAATTGCTATGGTCCATTAAGATTTGAATTACTTTTTTTTACAGACAATGTCATCACCAAGTGTTTGTCCTGATTATCAAAAGACCTTTGTCCTCCTCTTAACTTTCACATACTGAGCAAGAAAAACGAGAAAATATATTTTGTAATTTTGATGAATCGGCCCTTTAATGCCCAGTTCGTAGCTCAGACAGCCGTTGGCACATTACACACACACACATACATATGTTGCATGAACTCACTGGCACTTGCAGATGATTGTTGACTGGAAGGGTGATTTCAGGCTGTTTCATTCTTCACGTGGGAATGGATGTGAGAGAGCATTATGTTAAAATGATGTAATTGTGGGTAAACTGATCTGGGTGCACCACCAGAAATTTCGAATAATAACAAAGCTGTCACAGTTGTGTGAAGGTTTCTCAGTCTAGGATTTAAAGAATGAAAAAGAAGCTGGACGTGTTTCCAACTCGGCAGTGTTTTTGCTTTCTGAGGGGAGCAAGGAGCGGTTTCCTCATAATGCCCCTTAAGTTTGGAGGTCAAAGTGTCTGGTCACCATTAGATACACAAAGGCATGTCTGTGTTTACATGGCACTTACATATCTAGAGAGACTGTTCTTTGACTCACCCCCAATTTGGAAGAAATCCTTTCCAGCTTCAGGGGTCTTGTTCTGGATCTGACCCTGTGCTCAGACCCCCCCTGTGGATAAACGGAGGGTCACTTACATACGAACTAACCACAACAACACATAGACACACTTCTTGCCATGAGCAAAAACAGCAAACCAGAGACAGACCATGTTCACATTATAATCAGGCAGCAGAAGGGACACGGGGCTGCTCCCCAGCTTTTCAGTTTAGAAACGCACTGTTCCCTCAGAGCTCCCCTCCACCCTTTTGCTTTCCCTTCTACCCTCCCTGTCTTTCTCTCTCTGTCTCTCCGGGGATTCATTCTCAAAGGATTCAGCGGCAACAAACCTATCCTTAAGGAGTGGCAGGGTCATGGAGAGGAAGACCGGCGAGAAGTAGATTAAAAGGAAAAGAGAGGAGAAGGGATGTACAGTGGGGGAAATAAGTATTTGACCCCTTGCTGATTTTGCAGGTTTGCCCACTTACAAAGAATGCAACAATCTACAATTTTAATCATATGTACATTCTAACAGTGAAAGACAGAATCCCAAAGAAAATTCCAGAAAATCACATCATATGAATTTATAAAAATTGATAACCATCTGATGAGGAAAAACAAGTATTTGACCCCCTACCAAACAGCAAGTATTTTGGCTCCTACAAGCCAGTTAGTCTTTCTTTAAGACACAGCCCCAATCCCAACCAATTATCTACATCAAATACACCTGCCTCACCTCGTTACCTGTATAAAAGACACCCGTCAACACCCAAACAACCAGCATCCAACATCAGCACCATGGGCAAGACCAAAGAGCTTTCTACGGACATCAGGGACAAGATTGTTGATTTGCACAAGGCTGGGATGGGCTACAAGAGAATCGGAAAGCAACTTGGAGAGAAAAGATCAACTGTCGGTGCAGTTAAGGGGGAAATGGAAGAAGCACCACACCACCGCCAACCTCCCTCGGTCTGGGCCTCCACACAAGATCTCACCTCGTGGGGTGTCCCTGATCATGCGAACGGTGAGGAATCATCCCAAAACCAAAAGGGGGCAACTGATGAATCAACTGAAGGCAGCTGGGACCACAGTTACAAAAGAAACGGTTGGTAACACACTACGCCGTCATGGATTGAAATCCTGCAGCGCACGCAAGGTCCCCCTGCTCAAGAAGAAACCTGTACAGGCCCGCATGAAGTTCGCCATTCACCACCTGGACGACTCAGAAGAGGCCTGGAAGAAGGTGATGTGGTCAGATGAGACCAAAATAGAACTTTTTGGCCTCAACTCAACTCGTCGTGTTTGGAGGGCAAAGAACACAGAGTACAACCCAAAGAACACCATCCCCACCGTCAAGCATGGTGGTGGCAACATCATGCTTTGGGGGTGCTTTTCAGCCAAGGGGACGGGACAACTCCATCGTATTGAGGGGAGGATGGACGGGGCCATGTATCGTGGAATTCTGGACCAACATCTCCTTCCCTCAGTGAGAGAGCTGAAGATGGGTCGAGGATGGGTGTTTCAGCACGACAACGACCCTAAGCACACCGCCAAAGCAACAAAAGAGTGGCTGAAGAAGAAGCACATCAAGGTTCTGGAGTGGCCTAGCCAGTCTCCAGACCTGAATCCAATTGAAAATCTTTGGAGGGAGCTTAAAATTCGAGTTGCCAGGCGACAACCTCGGAACCTGAATGATTTGGAGGCAGTCTGCAGGGAGGAGTGGGCCAACATCCCTGCCGAAATGTGCACAAACCTTGTCACCAACTATAAAAACCGTTTGACATCTGTGCTGGCCAATAATGGCTTTTCTACAAAATATTAACATGCTGTTTGTCCAGGGGGTCAAATACTTGTTTTTCCTCATCAGATGGTTATCAATTTTAATAAATTCATATGATGTGATTTTCTGGAATTTTCTTTGGGATTCTGTCTTTCACTGTTAGAATGTACATATGATTAAAATTGTAGATTGTTGCATTCTTTGTAAGTGGGCAAACCTGCAAAATCAGCAAGGGGTCAAATACTTATTTCCCCCACTGTAGACCGCAACAGTCTCACTGTGTTATTCACTAATGCAGCTGTATCTCAGATTCAGCCCAGTGGGGAGGAAATACTACTCAGAGCTAATTGTGGGAACTGTACACATAATGAAACAATAGTTAGAGTGGGCTGAGTGGCCGATTACACATAGCGTACAGCCATACTCTGTGAAGCACAGACCATTTTATCTTCACTTACATATGTTCCAAACAAACCGTCTTAGTTGCCTTTTGAAAACCCCTTTCAGGATTTTGCCGCAGAGGGAACAAATGTTTTGTTATATTTACCCCGCCTGTTGCTAATGAACACACTAGCCAGCACAGGACTAGGAATAACTGCACTGGTTGTTAGTCCAGCTATTGAGAGTTATTTTTGCCTTGTAAAGTATTCTCTATTATTTCAAGTATTTAGAACAATTTGATATACAAGAGATGGAGAAAGCATGATGTCAGACGGTAACTTTAGATGATTCACATAGACGCTCATTTCTGATTCTGGTCTCTATAGAGTACAGAGATTTAAAGTTTTTTTTATTCCAAAGAGAAGAAGTGCTTTCAAGCCAGCATCTTGTCAGTGGAAAGTTAACTGTAGACCGTAATTTTAGTGCCACACTGAAATCTACCTCCTTAATTTTGAAGCAGTGCCTTCCAGGCTAAGCTTTCAGTTGTGGCTGGGAGGATGTTGAATGTGGGGGGATGGAGTTAGGGTTATTAAAGGAAATGATTAGGTGGAACCCAGGTGGCTGCGTAGTCCAGACCTTGATGAAAGACACAAGGATAAATACATGTCTTTATCCAGTTGCAAAATACCAAGTGGGAGCCTCCATTTTACTGCAAGCTAGGAAGAACTTTTATGCTCAAACTAAACGTTAAAATTTTTATGATTCAAAAAAGTTGTAAATGACTTGATATTTCACACGCCGGCTGCTGCAGCGGCGGCTCCCCCCACAAGGAAATGAGGCAGAGGATATGGCATGCCAGCAAGCAATCACAGAGTCTTAGACAGGATGGAGCGGTGAAAGAGTGGAGGGAGGATGTACATTTCATGATGTCACAGGGTGTGGTGGTCATGCTGTCACGGTAGCCATGTGTTAGTGATGGGTGTGTGTGAGAAGTGAGAAAGAGGAAAGGTATCACATCATTATATCAGGGAGGAATTTATCTTATCTATCCATTTTTTTGCCATCCTGACAGACTGGGGGCTTTTTTCTGTGTCTGTTGCCACTCTGGCCTGCTACTGAACTTAATATCACTGGCCAAGAGGCAGACCAATGTATAAGCACACTGTACTAGTCACTATGGAATGGTATAGTAGGGCTGGGGGATAATTTAATATTTTAATTTATATAATTGTTATATAATTATGTTGTTATAAAGTTTAAATATTAAGATATAAAATACAATTAACAGTTGTCTTGTGTTTTTAATTAAAACAAGTTAAATAAATCTGTCACAGTGTCAAATCTGACGTACAAAACACATTGTGAGAAGTTTATAGGATTTTCTCTTCTTTTTGATCAGAAAATACAAAAAAAAACTACCTCAATGGGATGAACGTTCATTTGGGTTAGGGGGATTTTTATTACTTTAGAAAAGATTTTTAAAATATCAACATATTGCTATGTTAATAAGTGAAATGTTATTTCGTCCATTATTTCTATACTGGATATTTACACACATTAGATTTTAGTTTCAAGTTTTTAACAATTGCTACAATATTATATTTGAGACTTCAAAGAGAAAATTTAATTTGGTTTCTCAGCTGCACTATATATATAACACAAAACATATGACAAAAACAATATACAATATATAGAATTACAAACAAAAACGATCCACTGCTCCACAACCACAGTAACAGATTATATTCTTACATTTATACCTGCATGTGAACCCATCTTTGACCTCTCATTGCTCTCCCCAGACCACACAGATGTCACTACAGAGCCTTATGTTGGGACCACTCAGACTGTAGCAGAAGTCACTCTTGACACTTCCGAGTCTCCAAGAGAAAACCATACTGTTGTCACTGGTCCTCCTCCAACCGAACCAGCAACGGCCCATCAAGAAGTCACAACAGAAGTTGTCACCGAGGCCGTCGTTGAGACAGAGGCCTCTGTTGCTGCTACTACTGCAGCAGCACCCGAACCCCTTGTCACCGACTCTCCCATTGAGGGGACCACAGCAACTGTTGAGGAAATGCATGAGAAAAAGGTTGAGGAAGCCACTGCAGCAGACACGGGTGAAGAGGTGCTTGTTGAAGAAGACACAGAGGGTGAGGAATGTGTGAAATGGAAGCTGGGATAGTGTAAAGGTGGTCAGTTTGGAGTCAGGTCTTTTTATTGACTGATATGATACTGCAGATACTCTGTGAGCCTAATGTGGAAATGAGGGTTTAAAGTTCACATACAGGCCTGAAATCTCTCTTTCTCAGAGGTTTAGATCTGGCATTTGATTAATTCTAAGTGTGAAAATGAACCATGATAATCAAAGTGCATTCACTGGTCTACGTAGAACATGTTATCAAAATCAAACTGATGTCTGAAAAATAATCTGACTCGTCTTGTCTTTCTGTCCCACAGAGGGCCTGAGTACTGGCCAAGTAGTTGGCATCGTGATTGGCTGTCTGTTGGCAGTGGTCATCGTCATCGCCGTGGTGATTGCTGTGGTGAGGAGGATGGGTAAATACTCGTAAGTACCTCACCCCTGCTGGTGGATACACATTCACACACACGCAGAGCTTGAATGAATGTGAATGCTGGCAGTTATATTAATATTATTGTTGTGTGGTGAGTCATCACTTCTGGCTCTAAATATGGAGTGAAACAGCATGAGCTTTTAGTCATCACTGACACATCCTATGATGAAATAACACAGGCAATGATGTAATGGATCTTGGAGAGATTCTGTTTCTGTTCTGTGTGATAAGATGACCCTGCTTGCCCAACACAAACTGCGTAGTTTGACCATAATTGGTTTCTGCTGTTACTCTCCGCTGAGAGTCACAGAGGTCCCATCCAAGTGAGAGTATTCCCACGAACCACACCCTCCCGTCCCGAAAACACTGTCATGAACTCCATGTATTGCTAATGATGAATGTTTCTTGTGTCACAGGTCTGCCAAGAACAAAAAACCTGCAAAAAAAGACAGCGTTATGGTTTCTGTAAATTTCTCTATTTGACTCTTTCAGCTAATCATTTTAACCCCATGCCCATCATAGTCCTAATTCAAAGACCTGTAACAGATGTCCCCCCCTCCCAAAAAAATACTCTCTCAAAGTTTGATGCTTGCTGCTGCTTTTTCTAACACACAGTCCCATGGCTCTGGGAGGATAATTGGGCATTCATGGTGACAAGTGGCTCTATTTGGACTCAAAATGTACTTGTTTATTGACTCAGTGTCTGTCTATGTGGCCAATGGTCATCAAGCAGACTGGTTTTACGTCAACAGCTTGACTTGATCCCTAGAAACAGGGGCTTGTGTTTGTCAGCAGTGGGGCAGCAATAAAAAGTCGTCAACTTCTGTTTGATTGTCTGTGATTGTTGGTCTTGGAAATTTCATTTCACAGTTGACCTAAGCCAGTGATGCTCTATAACAAAAGATGACGCGGGCTGGTCTATTGGTATGAAGTAGTATACATTGGGCGCTGCCGCCTTTCCCCTGTTAAATAATAATACAAATAATAGCTTTATTAAGCAAAAAACACATGTTTTATCTCAATTATAACTTTTAATTTATGGTTTCATGTATAAGCGTCAGAATGCTAGGAAGATATGTAGCTTGTGAAAAACGGTCCGATACTTAATTTGGTGACTATGGGGGCTAAAGAATCAGTCCTAATTTGTGGTCATGTTCACTTCTCCCATTGGAGTAAATAGACTCAGAACCAGCCGTTAGTATCCTGAAGGGGCAGTGGCCAAACCCACAACCACGTGACACCGATACAGGAAATGACTCTTGTGTGCCGTCTCCTTTCTGAACCGTCTCTGCTTAAGCTACGTGCTGAAAGAGGAAACTGTAGTCCAAAAACTAATCTTGTCAACTCCCAAACTACCTGGAATTAAAACAATCCATTTTAAGGCTTTGATAAACATGCCTCTTATGTAAACCTTATGTTGTTTCTTTTTCTATATTGACCTCTATCTTTTATCTTTAATTAAATCTACAAACCAGCTTTTTTTGCCCCCCATTGTTGTCCATAAGGGCAAAATTGTACACCCTTGTAATTAACTTATAAGTAGAACCTCAGCTACCCTAACTACTGTAGATTCAACCACTGACTGACTATCTTTCTTTCGTCCCGCAGCCCTTGAGGAAAAAGCAGGCCAAGCAGCAGGAGCGCCCAAGGTTCTGGAAATTCTGAACTACTGAGCTGTGACGTCATTTCCGATCATTGAAACAAGCACGATACCAGAACTCAACTAATCTAACCAGACATCTGGACTATTGCCAAATGGTGGGGGGGGGGCTTATGTGTGTTATGTGTGTGCTGTATGTTTGTGAGACAAGAGGGGTACATGAGCAAACATCCTCACCTCCCCCGCTACCTCCCTGACCTCCGGGAGCCGCTGATGTAAAAGGCTCTGTCCCCACCTACTCCCTCTGAGATAACAAAAAAAGGGGACAGCAGGGTATCACAACGAATTTCAGGCCTTTCAAACGCATTTTGTAAAAATTAAAAAAAAAGATTGGGTTACCCTCCCTCCTTTAAAGGGTGACTGAATTAGATTTGCATGGAAGTTTGAGAGGACATAAAAATGGAAAATCTGACAAAACTAAGGGAAATTTAAAGACACACAAGGATGGTGGGAGCAGGGAAGAAAGTAGGAGAGACTGCTACAATTTCCACAGGATGTATATACAGTGCAAGGGGACTACATAGTATAGAGTACAGCTAATGACTTTCTCATATGTTGCAGTTGCATAGGCTAGCAATTTCATATTATGGAATACACAGTACATACAGTCAGCCTTTGGCTATTGTTGTGGCCAACACACCTTTGAAGTACCAGTTAAAACATTTTTTAGCAAGACTCGCTGATATGTTGGCCAACTGTATGAAGCACTGTGTGCAGAAGTTGTTTTGACATAACACGTGTGAGCCCTGAGGGCTAGCATGGGGCTAACAAAAAAGAATAGGCACCCTCATTTGCAAGAGTAACGTGACATTCTCCCCACTTTAACACTGATATATAAAAACCTAATACATATCTGTGAAATTTAGCAGAAGGGTTTGTGCCACTGTCTCTGGTATACTCTAGGTAGTTTGGAGGATTTTAACTTTTGGAGTGCATTATTAATGTGAATTGTACATTTTAACTGCCACCCATTCCAAAAAGAACAGCTTCAATGACTTCTGGCTTGTTCCTTGTAAAGGCTTACACACAGCCAGTGGTTATTGGACATAGTGATAGCATTGTTTTGACAGTGTATTCATAGTACCAGAACAGCCATCCAGTCTTTGAATTGAGCTAACCCCAGATCACGTGCGCAGGATGACGTTTTATAGTTGCACTTAATTTTAGTGCACAGTGTTAGGTAGTAATGCCCTTTTTTGTTTTTTTTGCAATTGTAAGTGTGCTAAATGGGTGTACAAATAATGAAGTCTCAGCTTAGCTCTGCTTGCTTTACAAACTCGTTTAATTTGTGCACTGAATGAGTGATGTACTGTTTAATGAACAGGCTTTAGACACTGCAAATGTTTGCAACGACATGTGTTTGTTTCCTCCCTTCTGCTTTGTCACATGTTAGATCTTTAATTTGTGCCATCTGATATGTTTGAACCCTTTTAATTTAACTGCAGTGTTTTTGTTCATACTGTTTCAATAAAAAACTGAAAACACTCCACAAAATATATCTCACTAAATTCTTAACTAAGCTCTCTTTTGTCTGTGAAAATATCTATGAATGGCTTTTTTCAAATATCTGTTTAGTGTCCTGGCCATTTCCTATCAATTAGGTTACGTAGTTACCATGGCAATGCCTAAAAGTCAACACATTCTTAAGCTGCACTGTGTTCAATCTTAAATCAGGCCAAAATGCTTCACAATTAAAATCTCATGACACTTATTTTCTATTTCCAAGTGCAATTCACACACATCAGTAACAAGCTTCCACACGGGCAGCATCCAGTCCACTGTGATTGGCCCATTCAAGTAATGCCTCAAATAACAAAAAAAACAACCCCTTTTAGGCAGGGAGACAAACAGCACCAAACATGGAGGAACATTTGGCCTCAAACCGTTGAGTCGGTTGAGCCCTCTGACAGTTAGGTGTGTTTTTTATGTCATGTTGTGGACTTTTTCATACAGGGCTGTTAAGCTGAGGCAAGGCTCCAACAGTAGGCTGTGAGTCGCACAGAGATGCTCTGTGTCTGGCTCCCTCTCCTCCGTGTGGTTTTAGGCAGCGGCCCAACGCCCACCACCCCAGCCTCTGCCCCACCGGCGAGCTTCATAACTCTCTTTAGCTCACTCTCTTGCCTCAGACTGCTGGGAACAATGGAGTCTTTTGAGAGGGGCAGATGGAGACGCTATGGGCAATGGCTGTGAAGCTGCTCGCCAGCAGCTCCCTCTCTCCCCTTCAGCAAGGGGGAATTCTGTAGATCGCTACTAGGTGGAGTCACTTCCTGGGTGGGCCTAGCATTGATCGTGTGCACTTACACACGCACACACTTGGAAAAACTCTTAACAGAGACCTAAATGCTAACTTTGTGTCCTCAGATGAACACATGTTAAACCTATCATAACAGTCACGCTCCAGCAAAATGTCCCAGCAGAAGCAGCTATTAAGACACACCATAAAAGTGTGTGATTCACTGAGAGAGCTGGATTCATCATGACACATGGTTTCAGTACAAACATAGGTCTGTCTCATATTTAATTATCAGACTCAAAACCGCCTGCTTACGTGGTGTACAAGCATAAATATGAGCCGAGTGCGTGGAAGTTCAGCATATTCATATGTGTTTGTGTGGTCCAGCATGTGTGTGTCTGTAAACACATACACAATGTATGAGCCTATATGTGTGCATGTGAAATAAATCCTAGTAATGGGGTCGTCAAAACGTATTCACTACCCAAAGTTTCTCTCCCCTTTCCTGTGCTTGTCTGACTGAAAAACTGACAGGAAGGAAGGAACTGCTCAGCTCTAACAGACAGATGGATGAAGAAATATCTTTCCCTCTGCCTAAAACCAGACCAGTGTATTTTGATTTTAACAGAAGAATGTGTGTTTACTTGTACTTTCTCTCACAGTACAGTGGCAACCAGAAATATCAGGTCATGGTTGTCTGTGAGCTGCCTGTTTGTGATATATTCCACACAGAAGAAAACCTGTGGTCTGAGCTGGTCATCATTTTTATTTGTAGGAAAACTGCTGGTGCCCACTCAGCAAGTTATAATCCTAACAGTGTAAAGAAAGCACAGATTGTATAACAATAGAGGAATGAGGTTTTTGTAAATGCAGTAAAGTAATGCCAGGCATCAGGCTAATTCTCTTAGATTTGTTTTTGGCTGGTGAAGACAGGATATAAAACAGGTTGTGCTGTACCTAAAAAAAATGATGATACATATATTACAGACACCCAAAATCACCACACCTTATCCAAAAATCAAAAAGGAAGGAAACAGCAGCTCTACATTAATAAATATATCCATTAGTAGTTTTCCAGTAACACAGGATCGTACTGGTAACTTTTGTACTTCTTACAAACTGCATAATCTCTATTTAAGGGTTCTTTGATTATACTTGTTACTTACATTATTTGAGTGCAATAAAATCTTTGGTGATGTGGCGGCAATGGAGTGGTAAAGTAGTTCCAGTTCTTCTTACTGCTAAGTTGCTAAAATCTCACAACACAAATAATTAACCTGGATAAAGGATAAAGTTGAATTTTTCTTTCATCCATTGATCTCTATTCTGGGCAACAAACATTTGGGAAATCTATTGGGAAATCTTGCCTAAACACATCAAGTATGCTCAACTGCATTTGTGACACAGAACGAAACCTTCCTGAACAGTGCCATTAAAGAACAACTGTGGATTCCTACAAATGTGTACACTGTGTTTCCAGCATTCAGGGCTTTTGGAAATGTTTACCACATACGATACACTCAAACAGATCACCCGGTCAACCCAGATCCCTCTTACATTAATGTTTAATCATCCATTCTCTAAATTCTTTTTCTCCAGGGTTGAGTGAGAAGCATTCACAGAGGATGGTACACTCACACCTGTACACAAACAAAACACAGAGAGAACATGCAGACTCCAAACAGAAAGGCCGTGAGGTTTCACAAGTGTTCAATTTGCATTTGTGGTTTTAAGTTGATGCTTTGTTTAAATCTACAAGAAGTGATTTGATAGTTGGATTACTGAAGCATGTGTATTTTTATACTGTACTGTATGACCCACTAGCGTAGACAAGCATCATCTCATGGACTTGGCATGAGCTTCGTAGCTGTGTGTAGGTCTGCATGCGTGCGAGGAGCACCCCTTGTCAAGCCTGTAGAGCGCAGGGGTTTGTGATGTCATGAGATAAATGTCAGCTTGTGGGCTTTGAGTGCTGCAGGCAGCTGGGTAGATGGAGAGGCTGGGGTGGCGGTGGAGGAGCGAGGGAGGGGGATAAAGTTGGGTGACAGGCATAGACAGTGTGTTTGCGTGTGTGGTCAGATACAGCATGGGTGATGCAAGGAATAGCTGAATATACTAGTGTGCGACTGTGTGGCAGCAGAGAGTCAGAGCCAGTGAAAGGGGAGAAGGATTGATGGTGTGTGCGTGGTATGTAAGTGTGTGTGCACAGTATCTTTACATATGCCATGCTACTTTTTGGGTGTTAGGGTGCATCTCTTAGTGTGTGTGTGTGCAGAACTGACAAGGGGCAGTGATTCTGCAGGGCACACGTGTGTTTATTGGACTTTAGGGGATTATTAGCATGGGTGTGGTGAGTCTGTGCGTGTGTGCATGTACGGTCAGTACATAAATATACAGTACAGTGGGCTACGGTTGTGTGCACTCATGTACAGTCTCATGTGCTCTTGCACTGAACGGTTTGTGTTCTGACACATTTACATGTTCTTCCCTGCACATCTGGCATCCCACAACATGAAGCAATAAAATATAAAATAAGATGTTGTCTGATCACAGGCAAGGCTTTGTCTATGCTCCGTGGCCCACATCTTCTACAAGGGACCCTTATTGTTTCACACCAAAGCCTGATCCATCTGACACACTGTGGACCACCTCTCCCTCTTTGTCTCTCTTTTCCTATATGTTCATGTCAATAGTGAATGTTTCATTGTGAAAAGGGCCATTGGCACGTACCAGTTCCCGCTGCCACAGGATAAGCTACCCATGCATGTAATGTGGGGCACACTGTTTCACTTTTATCTCACAATCACTCTGTTTCCTGTTTGTTTTCCTCAAGAATATTATCAACTTTTAGATGGTTTTTGTCAGAAACACAAGACGCCACAAGAACTAAACATCCAACTTAGATTCAAGGTTCTACTACGGTGTACATCTGTACATATATGCTCAGTCTCTCTAAATGATCACCTGGAGAGAAAAGTAAAAATAAACAAATAAATAATAATTTTCTATCTATGCAAACATGATGAGTACACTTTCTGATAAATCTATATATTTATTGAATTGCTTTCAGTTCTAGCAAAACTCATTCCTACCATATAACAGACACTGACTGCTTAGCCATGTGTGTGACACAGCTTCAGAGCAGTCAGCACCTGCTTATACCATGATTTGACGTATGTGTCTGACCAGTAGACCCAATCGTGAGCTATTCATCATAGTTCCACAGCTGCAATTGCAATCAATGGAAGACATGCTGGAGCCTTGCGCATGTCATGACTCACTATGACGAGCTAAAAATAAACATGATCACAGTCAACCTGCCACTAAATGAACTATGCATGAGAATCTTGTACTGTCTAATACTGTCTATTCAATTTTGTTTCTCAAGAGTTATGTCAGTTCAACCCACCACATTGTATCTGCAACTTTACTGCAAAGTTTGAGGGGTTGAATCTAAAATACAGAGAAGACGAAAAGCTGGTGTAAAGAGAGACCTTTTGTTCATGATCTCTCATTATGCCTCACAAAAGTCTGACATAGTTTGATAGAGAAACACCACTCTGCCCACATACAACATTATTACAAGAGGAGACATACCATGCATGTGCCATGAGGACACCCATATGCTGCATAATGTCACAGCTGTACATGTGGGGTCTGGAGAACTCCTACTGATCCTCTCCAAGAATGCCGTTTATGTCGGTATGGTTCTGGAGGTGTAAATAATGCCATGTGAAACTAGGGGGTAGCTTTCTATCAGTGTAAGCTAAGCTTTATATGAGCTAGTGCTTTGTGATTCAATTGACAGTTGATGGGAAAAAAACAGAAGTGGTCAGGGAAAGAGAAATTCTATTGCATCATAAATCTTCAACTTTGGTCCCCTGTTTTCTCAACAGCGGTAAAACAGAAATGAAGATGCAAATTTTAGGACATTGAGATATGGCCTAAGTATAACATCAGAAGTCAAATTGCAAACTAACTAGCACATATTTTTGCAAGCTCAATGTGTGTGTGTGTGTGTGTGTGTGTGTGTGTGTGTGTGTGTGTGTGTGTGTGTGTGTGTGTGTCTCATCTTGTTGTCTGTTCAATAATAAAACTATAAATATAGTAAGAGTTAGAAACATTACACATCTTAAAATGTTCATGCAATGCAAACACAGGATTACATCCTATAAATGATCAATTACAGGATAGTCCACAGTGCACTGAAGTTACCAACCTGTTTAAAGTCAGACGTTATAATATTGCGCCCTCTACAGGTCAATTCAACACACTGCAAGGATAGAGTTCAGAAATAAAATAGGCTTTTTACAAAGTTCAAATAAATTCCATGCGTTTGTTAAACCACACTGTTTTGTAACCTGTAGATATGGCAGCGTTTGTTCAGTGTTAGTGTCAATTCGGAGTTAGTTTTTATTTCTATTTTAGATGAACATAAAATTCATTATGCATAAAACTAGCTGAAAACAGCATGGGTATTTGTAATATCTTAGATGAATATCTGCTACATCTTATATTAGTGTTAGTATTAGTTCTGTACATTTTAGTGTAACAATGTCTAAATACTGATCAAGATGTGCTAATGTTCTCATTTTAGTCTGAGCTGACAGCTGCCGTCTGCGAGGATGTTTTTTTTTTCCTTCCAGCACCTTAACAAACCTGTTGCCGATTGGTCCATATTTGACGGCCACATCATCTGACCAATCAGAACGCCAGAAGCTTGTTTGCACATTAGGGAAGAAAAAAACTGTCCACAAGCTGCACAAGAGGAATATTTCAAACCCATCAGTTTGTTTGGCTGCGAACAGACGTATGTATAGAAACTGTAACTTGCCTATTTGTGTAAAAGTTAGTGTAACGCTCGTGTCGAACATTTGTTTTCCCTAAATGTAGCCAGGGCTCGCGAGCTAGCATTGCAGCTAGCTGTATAATGTTAATGCTTTAATGGCGATAACAGCTGATTTCTTTCACTTGGTAACTGAAGTCTTGTCTCTGGACAGGGATTTTATTTACAAGCGGCTTTCTTGTATCTGGAGGAGAGTGGTAGGTCTATTTTAGAGAAGCCAGTTGACCTTTCAGTGTACGAGCTTCTGTAGGAAAACAGTAATATGACGACGTGATGTGTGACCAGCTAGCAATGGTGCATGGACTGGAGAGCGTCATCAAACCAGGTGAAGCAGATGCGCGTGAACGCACCCATAGCTAATCCGACTTGTAATGATAATATTAAATAGAAAAGTACTTATGTTAAAAATCTATTTTATACATGCTAAGTGTCAAATACGTCTTTTGGAGCGCAGGTGGATGGAAACAGAAGTTAAATCTTAGGAAACCGGCTCAAATAATTCAGTATGTAGGCCCTTGAACGGTGTTCAGCTAATATGACATCGTGACTGATTAAGTTGTATTTGTGCAACAGGAACTTACTGCAGGATTGTCTTATACTAATTGAAGTATAACTTGTAGGAACATAAACCAAGGGCTTTGTTTACATTGTCTACAAGAGTCGGAACACTGTTAGTAATGGAATAATTATGCAGGATGAAAAAAATATTATTAATAAAAATTATTTATGCGTAACGAGCAAACTTAAAAAATAAGGATAATTGAAGAAGTAAACAGATTTTGATGTCACAAGTGCTCCTGCGGCCGTGAGGAGCAGGTGGAAGAGCACGACAAATGTGGCACACACAAGATGAGCCTGCCATTTTGTCCTACCAAGCAGTAGATGAATGTCAAAATGCACTAAACTGCCTGTTTTTAAAAGTTTCCCATAATAACTGTAATGTAGCTATCAAAAAATCGAGGTGCATGTGGCTGTTGCAGAGTGTGAATGCCTGTAATCATTGTACCAGGTGGTGTAAGGAAACCATAGCATGGTAAATGAGGTAATCATGGGGACAGATTAGTTGTATTTTGGAACTGGACGCACTGTAGGCAACTCATGATTTAAAAGGAAAGCCCATATACAGCATTGAATTAACAGTGTTTAAAAAGTGTCGGCTCATTAGCTTATGTTGTTTGTTGGTTCATAATGTAACCTTGATATGCTTAGGGACATTAGCATAAGACAACACAGGACCCAAGGCTTATTCAGCAGCCAAATGGCCGAAGAGATAAAGGAACATTTTGCTCAACTACTCCCACCCCACAGCTGTTCACTCTGATCAGTTTGTGCTTCTTATCATTCAGTAGTTTGAGTGCAAGTGTCATGCTACGTTATGGAACACTTTCATTTTTTTATATATATATATATATATAAATAAATGTGTGCTTTGCTGTGTTTTTTTTTTCTTCCAGCGGAAACAAAAACCTGTGTGTTCATCTGTCCAACAGAACATGCCTTCTACTCTGCACTGACCATAAAAATGGTAAGATGTTCAGTTTTTTTTCTTGGAAGGTCTTCATGGTTGAATTTATGTGGATCATAACATATTATAGATGAGAAATGGCCTACTCTAGAGTAGAGTTGCTACGATTAATCGATTGGTTGTCATCTATTGAATTAATCGGTGACTAATTTTATAAGCGATTAATCAGTTTTAGTATTTTTTAAGGGGAAAAGAGTCAAAATTGTATTCTGTGTATTCTTTAAAGACAGACATAATTTATATATTTATCATTTAGCAAAATGCAAAGTAAGTGAACAAAAGAAAAATCTAAATCAAGTCATGTATATGTTGTGACTACCTATTGTCTTCAAACTGTATCAGTTTTTCTAGGTACACTTGCATAAAGTCAGGGATTTTGTAGGCATATTGCTTGGTGTTGATTAAACAATTATACCAAACAGGTGCTAATGATCATGAATTCAATATGTAGGTTGAAGCACAAGCATTAACTGCAACAGAAACAGCTGTGCAGGAGGAAGATAACTGGGCGACAAACAGCCAAACTCATGTAACAAGGTGAGGTTGCTGAAGACAGTTTAGTCTCAGAAGTCATACACCACGGGAAGAATGAGCACAGAAACAAGACAGAAGGTAGTTATTCTGCATCAGCAATGTCTCTCCCAGGCACAAATATTAAAGCCAGACATGGGGTTCCACATGTGCGGTCCAAGCTCTTTTGAAGAAGCACAAAAAACTGGCAACACTGAGGACCGTAGACGCAGTGGTCGGCCCAGGAAACTTGTTGCAGCAGATGAAAGACATCTGTGACCTGGAAACAAGGCCAAGCAACTCAACTATGCATAGAAACACATGTCCAGTACATGCAGAAAAATGGCAGCAGGTGCTCTGGACAAATGTGTCAAAATTTGAAGTATATCTTTGAAGGCAGTTTGTTCACTGAATGGCTGGAGAGTAGTATGAGAACGAGTGTCTGCAAGCAACAATGAAGCATGGTGGAGGTTTCTTGCAAGTTTGGTGCTGCATTTCTCTGCTGTGCAAGCAGATACTTATTCTTCATGCAAAACCATCCGGGAGGCATACATACATACAGTGGTGTGAAAAAGTGTTTGCCCCTTCCTGATTCCTTACTTTTTTTTCTTAAGTGTTTGTCACACTGAAATGTTTCAGATCAAACAAATTGAATTATATTAGACAAAGATAACAACAAGTAAACACAAAATGCGTTTTTTTTTTTTATTATGGGAAAAAAATCCAAACAACTGCAATCAAGCGTTTGCGATAACTGGCAATGAGTATTTTACAGCGCTGTGAAGGAATTTTGGCCACTAATCTATGCAGAATTATTGTAATTCAGCCACATTGGAGAGTTTTTGAGCCTTAACTGCTTTTTTAAGGTAATGCCACAACATCTCAAAAGGATTCAGGTCAGGACTTTGACTAGGCCACTCCAAAGTCTTCATTTTGTTTTTCTTAAGCCATTCAGAGTTGGACTTGCTGGTGTGTTTTGATCATTGTCCTGCTGCAGAACCCAAGTGCGCTTCAGCTTGAGGTCATGAACAGATGGCCGGATATTCTCCTTCAGGATTTTTTGGTAGACAGCTGAATTCATGGTTCCATTTACCACAGCAAGTCTTCCAGGTCCTGAAGCAGCAAAACAGCCCCAGACCATCACACTACCACCACTATTTTACTGTTGGTATGATGTTCCTTTTCTGAAATGCTGTTACTTTTACACCAGCTGTAATGGGACACACACCTTCCAAAAAGTTCAACTTTTGTCTTGTCAGTCCAGAGTATTTTCCCAAAAGTCTTCGGGATCATCAAGATGAGTTCTGGCAAAACTGAGACAAGCCTTTATGTTCTTTTTTTGCTCAACAGTGGTTTTTGTCTTGGAACTTTGCCAGGGTAATTTTTGGGGTAATTTTGGTCGGCCGGCCACTCCTGGGACGATTCACCACTGTTCTGTGTTTTCGCCATTTGTGTAAAATGGCTCTTACAGTGGTTCGCTGGAGTCACAAAGCTTTTAGAAATGGCTTAATAACCTTTTCCTGCCTGATAAATCTCAATTACTCTCTCATTTGTTGCTGAATTTCTTTGGATCACAGCATGATATCTAGCTTTTAAGGATCTCTTGGTTTACTTCACTTTGTCAGGCAGTTCCTATTTAAGTGATTTCTTGATTAAGAACAGGTGTGCCAGTAATCAGGCCTGGGTGTGGCTAGAGGAATTGAACTCAGCTTTCCAAAAATGTGATAAACCACAGTTAACAAGGGGCAATCACTTTTTCACATAGGGCCATGTTTTCCCCCCTTAATAATAAAAACCTTCATTTAAAAACTGCATTTTGTGTTTACTTGTATTATCATTGTCTAATATTTTAATTTGTTGGAAAATCTGAAACATTTCAGTGTGACAAACATGCAAAAAAAAAAAAAGAAATCGTGAAGGGGGCAAACACTTTTTCACACCACTGTAGAGATGCCCTAAATATATTCTGCAGCATGACAACGACACTAAACATACAGTGTAAAGATGAACAAGGAGTCCTGGAAGTGATGGTGCGGCCCCCACAGAGCCCTGATTTCGATATCAGTTCTGTCTGGGATTACATGAAGAAAGAGAAGCAACTGGGGCTGCCTTAATCCACAGAAGAACTGTGGATTAGTTCTCCCAAGATTTTCCAACCTACCAGCCTTTCTTCAAAGACTAAGTGTACCTAGAAGAATTTATTCTGTTTTGAAGACAAAGGGTGGTCACACCAAATATTGATTTGATTTAGGTTTTTATTTTGTCATTCACTTTGTATTTTGTTATTTGATAAATATAATATATTAACGTGTATTTTTGAAAGCATTCTCTGCAGCATTTTTCCACACCTGCCTACAACCTTTGCACAATATTGTATATGATGTAGGCAATATCATGAACACCTATTCTAAGTCTGTTGAGAGTTACACTAGGTAGTGGCAATTTGCTCTCTGGCATTAATAAATAAATACAGTATTGACTACTACTGCTATTACTGGCAATAATAAACTTTGTGCTGTGCCTGTTAATGAAAGAATTTATGCTGTTTTACATACTTTGAGAAAGCATAAATGTTTGGTGTATGGATTTGGAGTATAGTGTGAATGATTAGACTGCACAAGTGTTTATAATGGATGTTTAAGTTCATTTGATGCTGCCCTTAAATGGCACTTCAGCCACAATGTGTGTCAGCTTGCTAAATGACAATATCTTCTTTATCTATTCGATAGGTGTGACAACAGTCCTGTGTGATAGGCGTCCTTCAGAGAACTGGATACAACGTCCAGAGAAGATGGAGGACTCTCCCCACCTGTACATCTCTGAACGTGGAGACAATGAGGATATGGAGGAGGGGGAGGATGAGGACATTTCTCAAGAGGAAACTAATATGGAACCAGACCTGATGAATTCACTGTACCCAGATCTTCATGAAAACCCCAATCAGGATACTGAGAGAGACTGGAAATCTTTTCCCTGCCAGCACTGTGAACGACATTTTACCAGCAAACAAGGCTTAGAACGACACATGCACATCCATGATTTAGGGATCAGTGAGGCACACACCCACAAAAGCAGTGAGAGCGACATGTCTTTTGGTTCAAATCTGGGGCATTTGCAGCATGAGAAGATGAACCCTCTGAATTCAGAGGACTCAGTCATGCAGCTTCAAACTTCTTCCCCCACTAGCTCTAATACTTCCACTTTGTCGGCTGGAGACCACACTGTTCAGCCAGACAAACAGGGAGTATTAGACGGCCATCATGCTTGCAAGTACTGTGAAAAGACATTTACTACACATACCAACAAGCACCGGCATGAGCGCAGGATCCACGAGAAGCACCTGCAACTCACAAGTGCAGAAGCAACCCAGCTTCCCCAGGAGGAAAATCTTCAGGCAATATTCAGTGACGCATCTCAACACGAAACGGAGCTTGGTGAGGGTTCAGCACCTGCAGCTGTTCTGGAGAATGAAGGGGAACACACAGAACAATACATGCTAGATGTCTCTAGCAATATCTCAGAGAATCTCAGCTTTTACATGGATGGAAAGATAGTGTCAACAAGTACAGTCAGTAGCTGTGAAGCAGCTGAAATCCATTCTGGGTCTTTAGTTAGACTGGATGCGCTGATTCTAGACCCCGGCCAGATCAGCCAGGCATTAAATACAGAGTCAGTTACAGGTAAGGAACCATTGGCAAAAAGAAGAACTGCAACACCACCTCTTTTACCACAAATCAAAACTGAACTGGAGTCTGAGGTGGTTGTGTCTTCAGCCTCATCATCACTTGTATCTTCTTTAATAGAGAATCTACTCCCTCAGAATACAGAGTCTACCGTTGTGCAGAAGGAAAGAACAGTGTTTCTGTCACCTAAGTTGAAGCAGCTCCTGGAGAAGCAAGACGGCCTCAAACCTACACTTGCCCTCATCACAGATGGCCAGAAGCCTTGTTCACCAGTCTCTCTCTCTGTCCTGCCTGCTGGAACCGGGAGGTTTAAAAGAAGGACCGGATCTCCACCGAGCTCGCCACAGCAAAACCCAACATCTAATGAGGAATCGCCAATGTTAGATATGGCAGATTGTGATGCTGTCAGTACAGGACAGATGGAGACTCAATTTAACGCTTCACCTGTGCACCAAACAGCCAATGAAAAGGACGACACGACTCAACCTGTAGAGGATCCAGCAGCGAAACCCATCTTGTCAGAGAGCTGGCCCCCCTTGACTGGTGGTAATTCTTGTAACCAGCAACCGTTGGATCTCTCCAATACAGTCAAAAGAAATGAAGATATAGCTTTATCTGATGCCGTGCTGGATTTGAGTTTGCAAAAAAAGTCCCCAGGTGACTCTGAACTGACATTAAAATTAGTTTCACAGGCAGCTTTGAAAGAAGGAAAATCAAATGCATGCATGATGGAGAAAGCCTTAATGAATATTGCAGAGCCAAATGTGAGCCTCGGGAACCTTGAGGCTCCTTTAGTCACAGACTTCACCATAGTTACAGGTCCAGATATGATGACCCCAGTGGAGCCTGTTGCAGAAGGACTTGTTTATGGACTTACCCTACCCCCAAATTCTCTGACTCCATCATCCTCCTCCCTTACCCCTATTGCCTTGCAGACAGCTTCCCCTTGCACTATCGCATTTACTTCCCCAGCCTCACACACCATGCTTTCTACTGCTCCTTCATTAATCACAGTTTTAGCGCCACCACCACCTATTTCTAACCCTTCGAGCCAACCAATCCAGGTATTAGCCCCTAATATATCTCCCGAGCCCTTGGTAATCTGCACAGAAAATGCATTAAATTCTTCAGAGTGTGATTTCACTGCTGCATTTGCCACTACAAATTCTGCAAATCTTGTCACTCTCTCCCAGCCCCTTGACCCGACTCTAAATCTTCCCGGCCACGTGTTTCTCACTGATCAAATTGCTCTCAATCCACCTCTAGTTGAGTCCACTTCTGTGTCTGAAGTGCCATTCACACCCAATATAACTTTAAATGATTCCCTCATCAATTCTTACAACATCACCAGCAACACCGTGTTGATTGAGTGCACAATAGCTCTTGAAGCCCCGGGGAGGATAGTCCCTGCTGCAATTACCTTACAAGAAAACACAGCTGAGCCTCCAGCACCATCACAGATGGTTGTTAATCACATAGAACAGCAGCAGATTGTATCAGTACCCAACCCTCCAACTGTAGACCCCACTATTCTTGTGTCCTCCATCGCAGAATCAGTAACTCTGTCCACTACCACCTCAGTGATATCTGATTGTCCTACTGTGGGTGAGGCAAGTCCTAACCCAGAGCCTGTTGTTAATGCAGAGCCACCAACAACAAAAGAGGAGGAAGCTGATGACGTCACCATTTCCATACCTGAAATCCCATCTAAAAGCTATTCTGAGAAAGCTGAAGAGGACGAATCTTCAAACAACACACCAAGTGACGCACAACAGCAGACTTTCACGAAGAATTTCATCTGCAATGTGTGTGATAAGCTCTTCCATTCCATGAAAGAACTAGGCCGCCATGTAGGTGACCATGCCGATGAATGGCCCTACAAATGTGAGTTCTGCGTGCTGCTCTTCGGCAAACCCTCCACTTTGCTTGACCATCGATCAAGCCTCCACGGTGTCGGCAAGACTTACGTTTGCAGTTCATGCACAAAGGAATTTGCATACCTTTGCAATCTGAAACAGCATCAGGAAGAATTACACCCCGGGCAGCAGTGTACATACACAGAAGAAGAAAAGGGAAAACTAAGACGTCAGAACTACAACAACTCAACAAAAGTCAACACGGAGCCTTCAGTGCCTGACGCTCCAGAGGAATCCAACAAGCAGTTGAAAAAGGAAGACTGTGAAGTAGATGTGACTGCTGAAGAGCTGTTTACTACAATAAAACTCATGGCTTCAGATGGAGGCAAAATCAAAGGGCCCGATGTTCGTCTTGGCATTAACCAACATTATCCCAGCTTTAAGCCCCCTCCATTTCCTTACCATAACAGATCACCCGCTGCCTCAGTGGCTTCAGCCACAAACTTCACCACCCACAACATCCCACAAACCTTTAGCACAGCTATTCGCTGCACTAAGTGTGGAAAAAGCTTTGATAACATGCCAGAGCTACATAAGCATATCCTGGCTTGTGCAAACGCCAGTGATAAAAGGCGGTACACACCCAAAAAGAATCCCATCCCACTACGCCACTTTGCAAAAACTCAACACGGAGTTCTGTCTACCACAAATCCTACTAATGGACTAAATGCTTCGAACAGACCGAGCCAGTCAAACAGGTCCAAACCTAACCAAGAATCACCAGTAAAGGTAAAGTTCAAGGTACTGAAAAAAAGGAAGAAAAAGTTGGTCCAAAGGGTCATGCCACAGAGGAACAAGTCGGTCTCTTCATCAAATAAAATGTCACCTGCACAGGTAGATGAGCAGCAGGAGATTTTTGTCTGCCCACACTGTAGCAGGGAGTTCACAATGCGTCGCAGCAGAACCAAACACATGGCTGTCTGCCCCAAGAAACCTAAAGAGGTAAAGAAAAGGAAGGAAGGAGGAATCTCTGTGACAAAAGAAAATGTCAGACACCTACATAGAGGTGTTGAAGAGAAACAAGCCTCACCCCAGCATAAAACACGACTCCAAACGTCTGGCACTGCTAAGAGGCCCGCCATCCTGCCAGTGCAAACTGTCTTTTCCAACAAAAGAAGTAAAATAATCATAAAAGAGAGTATGCAGCCAAAACAAGAGACATCCACTCTGAATGAACTTCCCATTGTTCGCCCTTTCAACCCCTCCATGCGTCAGTATGGCAGAGTGCAGCATAGTGTCAAAGGAATCCCCATTAAAATCACCATAATGAAACCGCAACAGACTGCGTCACAGAAGGTTGAGCTGCCTCCTTCCCACAGCCGAGATGAAGCAAGCGGAGCCATTATCAGTAGCTCTGAGCAGAGTCCCACAGCTTGAGGACTACTCGACAGCCCACCGGGGATTGTCAGGTAGCAAAAGCACATTATTTACAGATTGTGATGTCATTGCAAACATACACACTTATTTCCTCATTTGTTCAGGTAAGACGGGTACCAGAGTATAAACAAGTAATACAGGTTAAACAACACACTATAGCTTCTACAATAATCATGCCTCTTAAAATAACCCATAGTATAATCATGCAATTTAAATCTTGGGCAGACAGCCAATAATGTCTTTATACATAATGTTATGTATAAAGACATTATTATTTCTCAATATACGTTTTGTTTTTCAGGACCCTGCTGTGTGGAACCCCTTGTACACACTGGTGTCATAGTGATATTAAAGGGCGATAACTGCTAATCACACCCCATGGACTCGATAAATTGCATCACACTGTACAATAAATGACTGAGTTGAGGACAGATAAAACTGACAACTAAGAATACTGCAGTGAGAGGATGTGTTTAAGTGAGTATTTGAATGCTTTTGTAGTAGCTTGGAGTTTTGTAAATTTCTCCTTCATTTTGTAAACTTTCTGTCAACGTCTTGGATTAGCACTTTGAAGTTAATCTGACTGCTACATGTCACAAATTGGAAAGGAAGTGGGAGGATTTGAGCTGGAAGACTGCTCTCATTTCCTGCCTGGTGGGTTATTTATAGAAGATGGCAGGTGGCAATCATTTTCAGCATGCATTTGCACTTTTCCTTATCTGTTGGCCTTTTAGTTTAAATTTACTGCATGCTGTGAGCTTGTACGACCGCTACATCAATTTAAGATGGATCATGTTAATGCAATTAGGCCTTAAACATTGAATCTGATGTTGATCGGATTGACTGTAACCAGCGTAAATATATGGAAAACACATCAAGATTGCTTCTAAACGTAAGTCTACAGAATCATACAAAAGTAATGCACTCTACAAGTACAGTGTAACGTTGGCTGCCCGCTAGCTACCTATCAAATTCTTGTTATCAACCCTGTTGATTACTATTATTGGTGTGATTGCAGCATTGGTAGATTTAATGCTACAGCCTTTGCAAATCCAATGGTACATAATCTGGTTGGGTGGCCCAGTTGCTATGTATTTGTATGACAGTTTTAAGAATAATGCTCTATGTGCCATCAGATGTACATCATATGACTAAATATGGCATAAAGGTGATGAAGAATAAATATAGTTTGATTTTCCTCCCCATGTGGAATTTATTTTGGCGGCCCACCCAAATAAATAATTTGTCTCTGTGTGAAACTGCAATTGAAAGTGCAGATTACTCACACTGCATTGATGTGCTATCACATTTTGAAGAAGGGCTTCCCTGAGCAGCCTAATCACACATGTTCGATTTACAATTTATAGTCCACCACACATAAATTCTTAAGTTTTGGGAAACACTGCAGTTCAATGTATTGGCACTGCAATCCCAAACAGAAATACTGTGTAATATTCTGTATAGCATCATTGACACTTTTACAGTAATAAGAGTTCAATTCTAAACAGCATTGGCAGAGCCAATTCGAGTACTTTGCCTGCTTTTCTTCTGTAACCCTATGATATTTACACTAGTCCCATTTCACCAAGTACTCAGAAAAATTATTTTAAATGTTGTTTTTTTGCCATTGAGCAACTAGAAATCTTCATATTAGAAGTACAGTCTGGTTAGGTTTGTCATCTGTAGCGTACAAGCATTTCATCATTGCTTATTATCTGTGTAACAGTTGTCGACAGTTTATTGTGTGAAGTGTGTTTAATGATTTCCAACATGTATAAATCACAAAATGGAAATGTAAGATCAATTACTGGGTATTTTTTGCTGAAACCCTGTAGTGACATGAAATGTTTGTGGCAAGTTGTCACTGATCTCAAAGAGTGACTGTAATGAATTGTATCAGTTTGGCTTAAATTGCTATGAGCTACTAGTTTGAAGATCCAGTGCTATACAGGGTAGTTATTTCATTACGATTGAATTAATTTATATTAATTTGGGCAAGCTAAAACTTGACAGTGGCCTGTAACCGAGAAAGAGAATAATGGGTCTTTTATTTTACATTTTTGCCTTTTCAAACCTCGCTGGTTATATTTCCTTCATGTAATGTGTTGGATGTACAGGACCGTTTGGGAGACTGTTATTTAACTGTGAAACTTGCTTGTAGCATTTGGAAGTGTAAATTGAGTAATGTATATTTATTAATAATTTAAAATCATGTTATCAATCTCTGAACAGTTCCTCTATGATTTGCACTAAAGGTTTTTCAAGCGAGTGTTCAAAATAAATGGAAAATCTTAAGGTTATATGTGAAGTTTGTGTCAAACTTTCTTTAACAAACAAATCAAATTATTTATGTAGAAATCATATGTTTGCATGTGGGAAAATTATACTGTAATCTAAGTTATGATTATGTTTTACCTTGTTAACAGAATGTTGCTCGACTTGCATGCTGCCTATAGTATGTACCTTTTATTAGAAAGTGATAAAAATGTCCAGAGGGTGGCGCACTTTCCTTACCTTTGGAACAGTGGAATCAATGGAGGGGATTTTGTAAAACCACTGCATCTCTTCTGCACTCCCACATTCTGTTTTAAAAATCCATTTATAGTGACACGTGTTTTTGGTCTGTAATTTTTTAAAGCTTTCTCCCCATCGCCAGAGTCAACATTTGGACTCTGGATGCCAAAAAGTGTCCATGCAAAGGTATCCAGAGCCACCACCCTCCATTTTTATCCTACATATTGAGTATCTACATTAAAAGGTAAAAGGATGTTGCAAATAACTGACAAAACAGCCAATCCAGAAGTCAGAAGAATTACACCTTTTACTTTGTATTGTACTCCCTCTGTATAAGGGATACATAAGGTTACTTGGTTAACAAACAAACAAGATAATTAACAAAATAGGTTGGTTGAGCAGTGATATCCAATGAACCATAATTACAGTATCAGCAAAAACTTTCCTTTTCCTACTTGTGACCCCCTGTGGGGTTATGTGTGGGTGTGGCCTTTCTCTCTATCCCTTGCAGGAGAAGAGCAGCTGAGACTGATTGCAGTAACTCTGGGCACCTGGGCTGATTGCCCTGTAGAGTATTTGCAACTCTGTTTCTCATTCTGCAGGAGGCTGCTTTCAAGGCCACATCAGACATCCCTGCAGGCCAGCCTCCCCAGTTTCCCCTTTAGCTTGGTTTCCTTTGGGTTTCAACTGTTGCTTTGTGGTATTTATCTTGTTATTGCATACTACAACACCTTCACACATATACATTCAGGCAACCATCATCTTGCACAGACACTACTGAAACCATAGACTACATACCTCTCATACTTTAATTAGGTTAGTTTGAAATACCTCTTAATTTGATTAATTTTGGTTTAAATAAACATATTTTGTTCTACTTCTACCATGGTGTGTCTCCCTTTTGAGCCAGGTCATAACACTAGTTAATAGTTCAAGCTTCAAGTTATATACAGTAGCGTGATTGTGTTTACTTACCCAGATCCACTTTGTGTCTCTCATGTTACACTAATTATTGTTTTGTTATTGCACTCTGGGGTTTAATTAAGAAGAAATGAAGTCAAGTAATGAGTGCGAGTGCCCAAAAATGTAAGGAAGTGATGTGCTTCAGCACATTTCAGACAGCTCAAGTCTCCAATCAACCAACTCAGGACAGTTCCTTGGTAAAGAGGGGGGGCATATTGGCAACAGTGAGCCAGTTGGTAGGCTATTTATAGGAAAACTAATGTGCACAATAATGAGCACAGTTTTGAGGGAAAAAGTATAATTAGCACTGTTAGCTGCGGGTGGAAGAGCAGCAGAGAAAGAGTGGCAAAGAACTGGGTAAACAAAGTAGGGAAGCAGAGTTTGTTGGTAAAAATAAAGAGGCACTAAGTTTCCTTGAGTATAAAAGGTGGCAAGAATCTGCCACATGAGAACTGGTCTGGGTCTTCTGTAAGGGAAAAGCAGTAACCACTGATCTGCTGTGAAATCTTATATAGAACCATTTTGTTTCTAAAAGGACTAATCATGCCCCTCATTCAACCAATCATCATTCAAAAAGTAAAACACTCTCTATCTCTATAAAATATGTCTGTACTATGTTTAAATTTGGAACAGTAGAAAAGTAAATGAGTCATTAGCTGACAGAACTGCAAAACTAACTCCCCAAGATTCATTTTTTTGCAGTTTGACAGCAGATAGAACTGGCAGGTGATCCTGTAAGGATCCTGGAAATCTTTTCAAAACAGGGTTAAGTGTTGTTAAATGACTTTCTGGGTTTTATCAATACATCTTTAGGAAAAACAGATGCTCTGTGACTATAGAGTAATGAAGCACACTGCACAGAATATGCACGCTATCACTCTGGTATCTGAAAATGTAGGCTACTTTAAGTCCATGGTGAGATGAGAGGATTGTTATCAGTTTCATCTTTGTGCAGAGCTGTGGTTAGCCTAGCTTAGCATAAAGTAAAAAAAAACATGCCTACTAACACTTCTAAAGCTGAATTATTTACACATTACACAATGTAACTTGTACATAAAGGTACAGGTGTCCATACATTCACACACAACCTCACAAACACTTGACGTCCATGGGAAATTTCAGCCTTAAAGATAGACCGTGGTTGCTATAGCGTGGTTACACCTTTGTGTGCCTTTTAGTGATAGGCCACTCCCATTACCACGGCATGATGGGCTGCAAAGCCACCACCAGCAATGTGGGAAAAAATGTTTACCTGCCAGCCACGGCCATCTTATTGGGGGTTACAGGGTCCCAAAATTGTCAGTAGGCTACCTGCACTTAAAGGCATGTGCAGGAAGTGGGACTGACCATCGTCACCTCCCCCCACCCCTTCAAGTGGACCCGTCCATCCATTTAATGTCAGAGGTCAGGCGGGAAATAATCAAATGAAATCAAGACAGAAAGAGCAAGTTCAAATCGAAAATACAAATGAAATGGATAAAAGACGAAGAGAAGTGGAGCGGGAAGGTCAGAGGGAAAAAGAAAAGCAATCTTAAGGTTGATGCCAACATTTTTTAAGTGAACACATTTATTATCAAAAAATAACATTACTGATGCCAGTGCCATGGTTTAGAGATGTGTCCGACCCTGCCTGTGCCCTATTTCAGATAACAGCATGAGCACACTCACGCACACACATTTGACCTCCATGCCAAATTTCAGCCTCTGAGGGCAAAAACTGTGGCCAACAAAGGGTGGATAGATTTTTGTGGACCAACCAAACAACAGTGAAAGCAATAGAGATTCTGGCCAGTGCTAAAAATGTGAAAGCAACAATTTGTGGTTACGTGTTGAACAATTTCATGGCGAACAGTAATTCGGCTCACTTTGGGCAGCTTCCAAAAGTCTTGTCATGATTTGGTGCCATTGAGCCTGTACAGAGACCATAACCAGTTATTTCTGCAAAACAGTGTACTCGGAACAAGGAAAAAAACGACCTCCGACACGGAAAAGTGCAATAGAATGGCTCGTTGTTGTCGTCACAGCAATGTGGTGGTGCACACTGTGAAAGTTCTACAACTTTCCAGCAGCAGTCTTGCCTCCTGAGGCCCCCACATTATTCTACTGGCTGTGGTTCGTACTATTGACTACGCTCGGCACCCGTTTAGACAATTTGTAGATGTTGTACGTTATTATAATAAGCAAAGACAAGCAAGACAGTTGACTAAGAAAAAGTACAATGGAATGCTACTCAAAGTCGGAGTTCCTGCTTATAAACTCGGGGCACAAATCCATTTACCGCGACTTCATGAAGAAGCAGTTGTCTGACATGACACAACAATGGCAGCACCCACGGAAGCGCACATTGTACATGGTAAACCATCAGCTAAAGACGTTTGCATGTGGCAACTTACTTGGTGAAGCTAACCTGCGTGCTGGCAGGTTTTCTTTAACTAACCCAAAGTTTCTCTTCCTCTTGAGCTGAAGCCTGCAGACTGATGGAAGTGTCAGACATAGTGTGTCCTTTTCTTGAAGAGCCAGTTGATCCTGAAGCACACATACTCTGCAGAAATATCCCTCAACTGAGAGTGAAGCAGATTATGTCAACAGGAAGTCGTTCCACATCATTATGTGCAGGTAGGCCTAAATAGTAGAAAATTACTGTTCTGCACTTTGAAGATCATATGTGATGCAGCCCACATCATCAGGAACACAGAAGCAAAGTGGTCTGGGTCTGTGCATGACATTACATTGACTGTACATGACTGTACATTTTTTGTGAGATTTGCCTAGACAGCTATTTTAATCTGTATTTTGTTTCCTCCTATTGCAACTGAAAACAGTATCCTTGTATTATCATAAGTGCGTTCAATGGTCACCTGCTTGGTGACAGAGGGTACCCCTGCCAATCCTATTTGCTGACCCCTTACTCTGATCCTGAGCTCAGCCTGCAGTAACGTTATAACTTGGCTCACTTCAGGACACCAGCCAGGGTACAGATGACCATTGGGATGTATAAGGCCTGGTTCCAGTCCCTCCGTAGGCTCAGGGTCAACCCAGAGAGGGCATGTGACATTATTTTCATATGTGCGATTCTCCATTGACGGTGACACAATTAGAGGAGAACAATGATTCTGATTGACCCGTCACCTCCCCAGTGTCAAATAAAGACAATATGCCTTTATTTTTATGAAGTCTTGTTCATTTCCTGCAAGCACAAATGCAGTACAGTAGTTAATATTTTCATGTTTGACTGATGTTCCCGCATTTGCAAGTATATTTTTGTCTTTTGCATCTGCAGCCTTATGTGGTGCATTTCTAAATGTATTTTTTCAATTTTTTTCTCTAAGTACACATTGTACAGCCGTTTCACAGGCAGCTATAGCAAAAAAAAAAAAAAGACAAAGACCCCTGTTAGTTTCCCTGTATATCATGGTCCATTGCTGAACAACATCTTGGTGGATGGACCCTTTTCCAAATTGCAATTTCCAACATTCCTCTGATAGAAAAAAAGAAGATACAAGTTTCATTATAGTACAACTACGACAAGCCTATTATGGGCATTGTAGATAAAAAATAAATAAATTGTGGAGGTGGGGCAAGGGGGTAATATTTTAAGAAAAAAAACCCAGTATTTCCGAGATTAAAGTTGTAAAATCTGGAGAAAATGTACTGAATCTTGTCTTGTATTAGACATAAGAAAAGAGGTGGAGCTTCAAGGCAGTTAGGCAGTTATGAGGGACTGCAACAAAGCCCCTTGAAAGCATCTCGACATCTTAGTTATTTATAAATTTCTGCAGTTCTTCCTCCTGACTTTTTTATGATTTTGGTCTTTGAACAGAAG